TGAAAGGTGATTCAAGTGTCTTATCAGGTTTTTGGAGTTCGATGAGCTTGAAAGTGCCCACGGCAACGTAGGATATATGTGAATTGAACGAGAGAGCATTGAAGAAAGCCTTTGCAAAATAGAGAAGGTCTTGGGATCTGAAGATGAACTGGAACTCATCAATAAGTAAGATAAGTCGTCTCTGCCAATATTGAAGCTTTGTATACAATGCTGATGAATCAAGATATTCCTGAAAAATAAAATATGATAGAAAATTAGTAAATCCAACTTGCGGGCCATTTGTCGAGATGTCGCCCGTGGCTCCCGTCATGTCAAATTGTATAATGTCTGTATCAAACTTCTCTCTGAGCGCTGCTTCAAGTGCCAACAAAAACGTAGTCTTTCCAGATTGGTATGGCCCATGAATGACGAATGACTTCCTTTCATAATAAAGGCCATTGAACACGTCTTCAAAGATGTCCCGTTCAAGAAAAGGAAGCATGAACGTAGTAGATTGTGGATGTATTGGTCCTTCCGTTGAAATATTTGGCCGAGGCTTCCTTTTGTGATGATCAGGCCCTACGAGTAATATTTGAATGAGTTATAAGCAGAGAAAGTAGGAATTCCTGGTGCTTCCGAATTATCTAAGTATGCATTAACCATACCTGCTTCTCTGGCACGATTTTGTGTGGCAGCTAATAATATTGTGATACATGCATGAATAAGAATTGTCAAGATGGAATAATGTTAAAGGTAAATAAAGTACCAAAAAAAGGTTAGATTAGCGCTCAAGTTGACAAACGAAACAAAGATTTCAAAGTAAACCATATAGTGTTCACTGATTTTGTTACGACTCACTTACCAGTTGCAACGGGTTGGACTACGATAACGCGAATGTGTTTTTGGGGCGGGTTTGACGATAAGAAGCAGGAAAGAAAAGCACAAGAATAAGTAAGTATTCGGTATTATTGTATTATTGGCGAATATGACAAATTACGCTATACTATCTTGTAACACACCTTGCTCGCCTTTGATTTCCTTGACCAGCTCAGCGATCACGATAGCCGGTCCTGGTTGTAGTCCATAACTTTCAAGTTCTTCTTTTGTTAAACTGAGAAAGGCTTTACCACCAATTTTTTTACTTCTGATTATCTCAATATCCTCGTTGTCAAGATCTAAGTTCAAGTCCTCCCTTTGTAAGAAGGTGATTACGTTATCCTTTTTCCATTCTTTCTTTACGATATTGACCAACGGGAGAATAGCCGTTTCTGACATAGGTTCATTTTCTCTATCCATAGTTTCACAGTTTTACAAAATAAGAAAGAAAACTTTTTGTGGAAATTCGATTCACACGAGCAAATGATTATCGCGCAGATTTATTTTTTTTGCTTGCTGAATATATATAAGAAATCGGTTGTCGCACAGATTGATCTGAGATCTTGACGCGCGTCACAGTCTCGGGATTTCGTAGTTTTTACATATCAGGTGATAAGCGAGAAGAATATTCACGGTATTTTATTAATGCATGCGAGCGATAAAAAAAATAAATACAAGTGCTAAAGCAAACAGACTAACCCGCTGTAC